AAAGTTTAAGGGTTTACGGGCCTTAAACCCTAAATCCTAAGCCCTAAACCCCTCAACCCCTCAACCCCTAAACCCCTAAACCCCTAAACCCCTAAACCCCTAAACCCCTAAACCCTAAACCCGAAACCTAAACCCTAAACCCTAAACCAAAAGCGAAGGCGCAGCAACAAGCTAGCCTCCGCCACAGTGGAGAAACTCCTTGGCAAGTCCATTCAGGCAGGGTTCGAAGACATTTCGCCAAACTTTCGGAAGTGCCGAAGGGGTTCGGGTTTAGGGTTTAGGGTTTAGGGTTTAGGGTTTAGGGTTTTTCGTTATGGTTATGACTCATAGACATGGTAGTGCCTTGCTCATACAGGGGTCAGGGTGGGAAGGCTTGGGTTTTCTGGGGTTCTACAAGTTTTAAGATGCGGGTGGTGTAGGGTTTAGGGGTTTAGAATTCTGTTGTTGGGGTGTTTAGGGTTCATTTCGGGACAAACCGTAAACTAGCCTTAAACCTTAAACCCTAATCTTAGAAATCCCCAAACTGAAGCCCTAAACCCTAGATTTATACCCTCAACCCTAAACCGTTACAGTTCAGGCTTTTGGGGGTCAGAGCTTAGGGTCCAGGGGCCACTGCAGTCAGTGGAGTTTCGCTTCGAGACTTGCAGATGAAGAAATGTCTTGGTGGACGGGGTTTAGGGTTTAGGGTTTTGGGTGTAGGGTTTAGGGTTTAGGGTTTAGCGTTTAGGGTTTAGGGTTTAGAAGCCACTACCCCTAAACCCTAAAGCCTAGACCCTAAACCCTAAACCCTAAAGCCTAAACCCTAAACCCTAAACCCTAAAGCCTAGACCCTAAACCCTAAAGACCCAGCCTCTGTCTATCCTTCAACCCGGTGAGGCTCTCGGATGTAGATTTGTAACACCGTTAGGGTTTAGGCTTTAGGGGTTTAGGGTTTAGGGTTTAGGGTTTAGGGGTTTAGGGGTTTAGGGGCTTAGGGTTTAGGATTTAGGGTTGCAGGAAGAAAAATGAGGTATAGTATAGTGGCAGATCATATCTACTACTTCTTCACACCTCTAAATCAGATCAGCCATAAACCGCACACCTCAGAACCAAACCGTTTCTTGAACAGGGACCCAAATTTAGAGAACTGCCCATACCCCTGGAACATCCTAGGGGTTAGGTTTTAGAGGGCTCGCCTAAACCCTAAACCCTGGGCCCCAAACCCTAAACCCCAAACCCTAAACGGGTTTAGGGTTTAGGGTTTAGGGTTTAGGGCTAAACCTAAACCCTAAACCCTAAACCCTTTTAGAGGCCTCGCCTTGGGAACTGGCAGGTGCAGCTCCTGTCGTCCAAGGATGCCACCTTCGTGCCCAAGCAGGCGGTGAGGGCCCACCTCCCAATCGGCGAAGCGCATCTAAGTCGCATTTGGGTAGTTGTCAAAATTAGGGTCCCTTTTGGGGTAACCTAAATAATAGGTGCCGTATTATAATAAGGACCCAAAAAGGGACCATAATTTTGACAACCACCCATTTAGGTGTATCGGGCTCTGGCTATGAAAGAAGTTCCCCATTGCAGTCCCTCTATCACCGTACGAGACTCTGCGCCGAAAGCGAACATCAAGGCCCAGTATGACGTTTGGAGGTTCGCGGGCTTGATGCCTGTAGTTGAGCGGTTTTGTTTAGGGTTGGGGGTTTAAGGCTGGACAAGAATACCCTGCATGAATTGAGCCTTCATTGCTATCGACATGATTGAACGGAACATTACCCATAGGCCCCAAAGTAGTTTCTTTTGGGGGTTCATATNNACTACTATGGGGCCTATGGGTAAGACACGCACCCCCCAAAACCAAAATTGGGAATCGGAGCCCTCTGCAGACTTTCTGGGTTGGTTCTCGCGTGTACCGCGGAGGTGCCACGAAGTGCCCAAGTCCGGAACCTCGAACCGAAGCCCGAATGTCCTAAACCCCGAAATCCCTAAACTTAAAGGCAACTTAAACGCAAGGAAATCTCCAGATCCTCTTGAAGCGGTGGTGGTCAACAGCACGGAAGCCCAAACCACGGTGCGCTTCAAGAGCAAGTACGTGGGCGAGGCACTTCTGCGTGAGTCGTGTGTAGGGGTTTGGGTTTCGGTTTTTGGATGCAGGGTTATGGTTCATAAAATTTCCGCAGATGTTGCTTGTAGGATATACCGCTTTACGACCTAAACCCTCGCTACCCAGACCCCCAAA